GAAGAATACTGTCTATTTTGTTTTACTGTGTCTGTCTGTTTTTCCAGGAGATTGTCTTCATCCTTTCCCTGTCCAGGACTTGAGCAGGGCTGTCCTGGGATATTTTACTGTCTTCCAGTGTTAATCCTCTTATATGCTCCCCTGTCTCTTGAACAGATTATATTTATTTTTCCCCTTCAGTAAACAGCCCATTACTGCTGTTAGGAATATCACTCCATAGAGCTCATTATTAATTTCCTAAGTCAGGTTTCCACATGGCAATGAGGCACCCAAGTCCTTTGAGATGACTTGTCCATTGCCAGTAACAACTGAGGATCCCCACCAAGAAGGATTCAGAACTTAGCAGCATGAGCAATGCAGCCACTGAGAACCATGTCCATGGAGTGGTGTGACCCAGGGGCATGGGGCCAGCAGCTACAGCATGGAACTTCCAAGCCTTTTCCTTGCCAAGGGAATGCTTTACTCAAAAGAAAACTTGGTCAGATGAAGTGAAGAGGAGACTCCAACTTTGCTGATGCCTGTCATAATTAGACACATTAAAAAAAAAAAAAAAGACAAGAAAAAAGGAAACTAGATGGGAAAATGTTATAGCAGAGGGAGCTGACTACAGTTTACAGTTTAGATGGTTGAGAAAGCAATATCAGGGTATTGGTTTGCTGTCTCCACAGTAACTTACTCTATGGTCTTATTCCAAGAGGGTAGATGTTGCATGACTGCTGTGACCATAGAGAGCAGCCCTGGGGACTTGGGAATGCTGATGGATGAGAAGCTTAATGCGTCTCAGTCATATGCACTTGCATCCCAACATCCTGGGCTGCACCAAAAGTACCATGGCCAGCAGGTCAAGGGAGGTGATTCTGCCTCTCCAGTCCGCTCTTGTGAGAGCCCACCTGGAGTGCCGCATCTAGCTCTGGAGTTCTCAGCATGGGAAAGGTGTGGACTTGTTAGAGCAAGTCCAGGGGAGAGCCACTAAATTGATCCCAGGGCTGGAACACCTCTCGTGTGAAGACAGGCTGAGACAGTCGGGATTGTTCAGCCTGGTGAAGGGAAAGAATCCTGTGTTAGATCTAAAAGCCCTGGGCAGATGTTTCAGATGGCCTAAGGCATCTCAAATGGTACCAAGTACCTGTGGGAGAGTAACTGAATTGTGTCCCCTAGTCTGATCAGCTGAGTTGTTTTCAAGCCTCCATCGACTAGATGTCCATGGAGTATGAAAAGACCTTAGTCACATCATTTTCCTATAGATCTCTTCATTTATCTATCTTAATGATAAACTGGATAATACCTGTATTTGTGTGTTCTAAAATAATTTCAGTGTCAATGTAAATGTTGCCTAAAAGACCATGGAGAAAAGACTCCAGGCCAATTTAGTGTATGAGATAAGATAAAGAGAGCAGGTCCTTTAATGAGTCTGTAGGCCTAGAGGAATACGTACCACGCACCCGCCCTCAGTTAGTGGTTCTATGATTTTATAATAAGGTCCATCCAATCCCAGTTTGTCCACCCCTGGTTCTACCCTGTTCTGCCCCCCAATATGCCCCTTCAGAAATTGGGTCTGGGGGCCTTCTTCCTCATCTTCTTCTTTGCAGCACGTACAGTTCTTGGAGTTCCTCCAAAGTTCTGGGCTCGAAGGTTGCTATGTCTGTGTGATATCTTCTGGTCGAGGCCTTAAGGTGTTTTTCTACAATTCTACCTTGAAAAGACTAAACACGCTAATGGAATTTTAGAGGGATTGATATGAAATGGGATAGTAGGGTTGGGTATGGGTAAACATTATGCTACAGGGTAAGGGATATAATACAGCTGCATTAAAATCTACATGCACTACACATCTACTTCTAAAATCTATAAAAATTAAAAAAAAAGCTCTGAGACATCATAATCAAAAGCAATTATTAACATTGAAACTCACAACAATATTAGACTCATCTGCAAAATAAGTGTTGTCTGAGCTGGTGTGAATCACACTGTAAGACTAACCTGTTTTGACATTCACTGTTATATTAGTAGTTTTTTTGTTCTACTCATTCAGCCCTCCCACGCTGGTTGTGTATTCTATTAAACACCTATTAAAGTTAAAATCAGTACGGACTTGCTGGGTTGTTTGAGGAGCTCTCGTGCAAAATTAGTTTTATACCACCAATTGTTATTGCTGAATTTCACCTAGAGACTATCCTGGGAGCTGAATGTACATGTTCTGAATTGAATTTGCCTCAGTGCAATTGAGAACAGAGCCTGGAGAAAGGAGTACAACTTTATACAACTGGTTGTAATCATTGCATATGGTGAAGGAGGAGAGTGGTACCTGTTCACTTCTGTTCCTTAGTTATTCTGTACTGCCTTCTGCCCTGAGAGGATGTCCAAATGAAGAGCAAATATTCTTTAATATTCAAAGTATAAGTAGACCTTCATCCATGACTAGAAAATTACATCAGAAGGGCACTCCTAAAGCTCTCAACCTGCAGAATTTACCTACCACACCAATGCCAAAAGCAAGAAAAGAAGGGCAGCCGGCAAGAAGCTGCAGAGATTTGTTGTAAACATGGATTAATTAACACGATTACAACAAAATGTGTAATTGGTATGCAACAGCAAGTTTAACTTCAGCTGCAATGTCTAAGGGTAAGAAGTCACCAGTGGAATTCTAAATAGAAATTTAGAGCCACTTCCTTTTCTAAATGAGAGGAGTGTCACAGATCCCAAATAACTTATTGATTTCCTAACAATTGCATTGAATGTAAGGTCAGACAAGCTGAAACTAGTAAATAGGAAACATGGAATAATTTAGATTGGAAGGGATTTCTGGAGGTCATCTCCTTCAAACCTCCATTTAAAGTAGATTGAGCTTTGAAGTTGAATGCAATTTCAATGTTTGAGAGGTTTCTCAGTGTTAGTCTATCAAAATTTTAGCATCTCCAGTGTTGAAATTGCATAACATCTCTGGCCAACCTCTTCAAAAGTTCTGACCACCCTCAATTTCTTCCTGAAGACAAAATTTTCCTAAAGTTTTTGTGGTTGTTCTGCATTGAGAGTATATTCAAAAGTAGCAACACATATCCCAAGCTGCTTACTTAAATGAAATTTGTGTAGCTGAGCTCAGTGTAAGTGGACTGGTCAGTTAGGAGGCTAAGGCACGCTATCATCACACTTCAGAGGAGTGTGCACTGTTGTCACCCTTTCATTATGGCTAAAACGAGGATTCATGCCCCTAGCTCCATCACCTTTCATTAGCACCAAACATTAAAAAGTTTTAAAGGCCATACCCTGAATGTCTTTTTAAGTGATATATCTCTACTAGGTCAAAAGACCTTCAACAAGGCTAAACTGTTCAAGTGGACTTTAAAGTGCTTTAAGATAAGTTATACATTTTGTTAAGTCCTTGAAAAATAATCATATTACTTTTCAAGTTATTGTATATTTTAGCTATTCCTGTAAGGGTTCCAGTGCTAAGGCCCTGATTCTACCTAGCCTTATGCCTGACACTAATTGTTTAAATCCATGCATAATGGATGTAAAAATACAACCACTAGTGTGGATGGAAAGATCTGATCTTGTGAGATTTTAAACCCATTTTGGTCTAACTGTGTAGAAATTGTGGAGAATTTGGAAGGCACAAGGCTTCAGCAGTTTAAATCCAGTAGTTCTATTAAAAGAGTCTTTCTACACATTACAGTAGTCATCGAGTCCATAAAAATATAACAGAGGTGGTGTCTTCCCTTCTTCTGCAGTGCCAAGATATATGAGATACTTTCTATTCTTTGGTGAGCAGACTGCAAGACTGAAAAATTTAATGTTTTGCCTGTATTGTAAAAGGAACACTGTTATTTTCTGGCTACCTACAATACTGTGAATTGCTGTAATTTCCCTGATACTTCTAAAACAACTATAAGAAAAAAAATGCTTTTTTTGGCTAAAGGACAGAATCAATATTCCATAAAAAATTCATCTATTAAAAGCTCCATCACAAAGATTAAGAAATAACTGCCAGAAAGCTTATAGTAAATGCAATAGCATTCTGAGAACATCTGATGATATTTGGGGTGATACTCCTTGACTTTAAACATTTCTAATTTAACTATCTAGGAACTTGGAGGATGCAGTATGTATAACTGATTTTAGACAACTATTTGTGGGTGGGATAGTCATGTCCTAACAATCTTTTCTGAGTTTTGTTGAAGACAACCTAGAATGACTCATTGAAATGTTGACATTTGCAGATGCCTACTTTTGGCCAGATGACTCCTACTCATGATGACCTAAGTCCAGCCATCACATAGTGAAATGGAGTGAGACTAGTATGGTCACAGCATCAGTGAGACAGGGAGACAAGAAAGAAGTTGCTACCATCTCTTCCAAACTGTATGTTTATGACCTTCAGCTACAGAGTACCTGATGCCTAGAGGTTGATTGTTTGCCACTCTATGTGTAAACACACAACTATGGACTCCATACTGCTCTCATAGCTGCTATTTAGGTAACACCAGCCCCTAGAGATGACTGCGTTTCCTCAGCTCCAAAATATTATGTTGGTGGGCACATGTTTTATTAAAATTACCATTTAATTAATATAAGCCACCGGTGAGCTGGTGGGAACCCTGGTTACAACAGCAGCTGGATGCTCTGAAATCTGAATTCTCAAAGGAGAGGTGAGAGAAGGTGGGAACATATTTCCCTGTTGATAAATGTATCTTCAGCAAACCTCAGGCATGGCACTTTGGATCAAGAGGGCTGAAGGTAGGTCAGTGCAGCCTGAGGACCTCTGCAGGTACGAGGAAACTCTCTGTGCATTTAAGTAGGCACATTTGCACCACAGCTTGAACTTGAACCTGCATCTCCTACAGCTCAAGTGAGTTAACTAACTATTGGTAATATAGAAATTGCCATATTCATATTAGTCTATTAATGCTTAATTATTCACACCAAGTGGAATGTCTACAGAAGAAAGACCAGCCAGAGGCAGAATGGTTTCCATCCTCATCACTGGAACTATTCCATGGATCAGACCTAAGATGGTAACAAACTAATTGAAAATACATGAAAATGACATCATTTATATAAAGGCTAGATATCAGTTCACTTTTTAATTTAGGGAATATTAAAACTCACTCTAATACAAAGCAACAAAACAAAGTCACTGTATGAAACACTGAATTGCATCATTCCCAAAGAAAATGTACAAAAGTGCTTCCTTTTAAAACAAGCAATTATGACTTTGAATAATATTAGAAAGAAATGCCTGCTGTTTTTCCAGAGACATTTCTGAGTACAAGGAAGCTGTAACAACCCTGAGGAAGGAGGCTGTCAGATAGGTTGAGTTACACTGATAACTGTGTCAGATTAAGTTAGGTTTGATATTTTGCAAGTGTGTGATCAGTCGCTGAGGGCTTTGAAGTGGCAAGCATGATGCAGTTGAGTCTGAAGCTCCTGTAGAGCTCTTGAACAGAAGGGGAGGTTTCTTTCTTAAACACATGGGCACAACTTCCAACCTGTCTCCTCTTTCTCCCCATCAAACAAAATCCATTTCAGGCGAGAGAGTGCAGTTAAGGTCACTGCTTTCAGGCAGGTTCCTCAGTGCTAAGAAGGCAAGAAGCTGATGTGGAAATGCACATGCTGCATCCTTCTCCTGTCATGTTATTTCGTCATGGCAGCATGAAAGAAGGCTGTAAGACATCTAAGCCATTAACAAGTACAGCTGATAGGATTTGGTCCATTATGCTGATCTACTTTCCCATGCATTCAGACCTGTCCACCTGATTACCATATCCTCTGTTAGGAACTGAAAACCAGGAGTCACTGTGGCATTAAATTAACCTAGGAAAAAAGAACTGACAAGCATGAACCCATTCTTTCTACTTAGGTCAAATTCTGTGGCATGTTTCTACAGATAAATCATAGGAGTCCTGACCCAAAGAGGAAATTGGCTGATGCTTCCACTCAGCATTGTTGTAATCGTGTTGTTTTCTGAAGGCCACTGAAGCTCTTGGGGACTGTGTGTGGTCAAACAGCATTAGCAATTTGTGGTTAACCTGAAAAAAGGTCTCTGGAGATTTTATTCCCACAGGCAACAGAGGCTTTTCATTTTCCACCAGAATAGTGAGAGTGAAGTTCACCCAAACCAGGCATACTGTCTCATTGTGTTATGAGTCTCAGTAACAGTCAATCTACAATCTACAGACAAGTCACTTTATGGGATGCTCATCTGGCCACTTGTGGATCAGCAAATCAGTGGAGCAGAAAGCCCTTTTCCCGGGTGCTTTGCTTCAGGTCCTGTTTCTGGTCCCATCCATTTTTCTCTTTCCTCCCTGCTGGGCCACCTTGGCCCTTTTCCCTGTCTGTGAGATTCTAGATTAGAATTCTGCCCTGTCAGGCATCAATGGGCTATAGCTAGGGAGGAGGGAAGGGATTGATGGAAATGGAAATTCGAATGGGCGAGTTGTGTACCTGCTCTACTTGTTGGTCTTTGGCTGCCTCTCCTCCCTTACGGCTCTCCTGCTGCCCCATACACCCTCTTCATTCTCTTTCCATATTTCAAGCCCCACTAGAGCTCTGGTCTCCAGCATTTTCCTGTAAGAGCTCCTTCTGTCAAAGCCTGGCTTGCCACTTGGTCATGAATTTCCTTCCCTGTCCCTACATCAAACCCTAAGGCTTTCTCCCACCCACTGGGATTTCTTCCACTCTTGGAGCTCTTCTTTGTGCCAAGATGATAAAGGTTGTGATCCCGTCACAACTCAGCCCACCCTTTCAAGGCAATATAGTATCTCCAGTCCTTCATGACAGCTAACTTCAGACTAACTTCTAAACCTCAGACTGCATACAGTGGTGTTCCCAGGACTCTTCCCAACTGAATCATGTCCATCTTGAAGTCCCATACCAAAATCTTGCTCCAACTCAAGACAGATGAGTTATCACAATTAAAGCACAAGGATTTCTTTTCAGGTTCATTGCAGACAGAATCCCTAAATTTTATATTTGTTTTATCTGCAGGAATAGGAGCATGTTGGTGCATTTTCTTCCTGAATTTTTTCAGTAAAGCTATTCAGACTTCATTCTGCATTCCTGAAGTGGATTACTCCTACTTAAACATACAGGTTTACATTTGTCCATCTTAAATTGCATTCAGTTTTTCTATACTATTTATCCAATATGTTAGCTTCATGTAAAACTTTTCAACATTTCATACAATATAGAAAATAATAATGGAGAAACAAAGGAAAAAGTACATTTTAATATTGAGAAAAATTGTTTATTATGAAAAATTGCAAGCTGGAATGCTATTAATATTTAGTACAATAATACTTCATTCAAAGGTTTTCTTATTAAAATGGTGATTTTCTGCAAAACATTGCAGAAAGGCTGCATTTAAAATTGTCACTTCAGAGTTATTTTCAAAATTATGGTAATTTAATGTTTTTGTGGCATTAGCAACAGATGATGTTGGGTTGTTATAGTGATAGAAGTGACATGGTGACTTTGTGGAACTGACTGACAACACAGTGACAGTTTGGGAACAGTTGCTTTGTTTATGAGCTTGCCTTTGAAGAAAAAAGACAGATGAAGCTTTGCAAATCTAAAGTTTTCTGGGTATAAAAGGCCAAATATCCTAACTTCCCTCTGACCAAATCTACAACTGAAAGATAAATATTTCAACAGTACTTCCTCAGGCCCATTTACTTTAATATCCATTAGGAAAATAAGATTTATACCCACACATTAAGCTTGTAATAAGGGATAAACACCACAGTTTAGTAAAGCTGATATATCTGAAGGGTTTCCCAGTAGCTGGAAAACAGAAGTAACTTCTGGGCAGAATAACCATTTTTTGCTTTCCTGGTTAAGTATGAAGTCATCAATCAGAAAACTTTATCTTCTGTAATTTAGTTAGTGCTCTTGGATAAATGCCAAAATTAACTTTAAAAAAATATTTATTCAGTAAAATGATGTTAGGACAAAAGAATTTCCCTTTCTAAAGCAGCCTTTCTTATGTTCTTTGTCACAGGAAAGAAAAGGAAAGAAAAAGACTTGTACATTTTCCAACTATGCTATTGAAATTTTTATAGAGAATCAGCACATGCTGCTGAGCAACATTTCAGTCAAAGCGAAGACTAGTGTCAGCCCATAAAAAAAAAAAAATAAAAGGAAAAATGCCAAACTCCACAGTTCCATCTACCATTAATGTCCAGCAGAAAATGTGCAAATGAAATAGAAACAAAGAACTTTGGCAGTACTCACAAAAATGGACAGTACTTGGACAAGACCTTGGAATGAGACATAGAAAGGCTAAATCTTTTGTGCTGAGCTGTTCCTAGTTGTCAAGCAGAAATCCAAACATATTAGAGCAAATCCAATGGAGGAAGACTGCTCCAAGGAAAGAGAGAGAATCTCTGGAAACACCAAGTCAAGAGCTGCATACAAAGGCTTGAAGGGGACATACAGACACTGAAAGGACAAGACGCAGTGGAGAGAAGTAGCAACAACAGAAATCCAAGTTACATATTTGTAAACAAAATCTTTACAGAAAGGTTGGTTAAACATGGAGACAGGCTCAGAGGTACTGTGGAGCCCCCATTCTCAGGGGTAATTAAAAGTTCTGGGACACAGTCCTGAGCAACCTGATCTAACACAGAGGTGGGATGTCCTATCTCTGAGTGGGGCTTGGTACAGAAACTTGCCATAGCCTTGAGCATCTTGCTCAACTTAAATGCTATTCTGAACATATTTTTCAGTGGAGGACTGTTTCCTTCCTGTCACTGGCTCTGCAACATGAAACAGTATTGCTCCTGGACTAGACAACCTAGAATGAGATAGAAACAGTTGTTTTGTGGCCAAGCAGCTCTTACATAGTGAATCAAAGAGAAAAAGGCAGCATGATTGGCTGACATGAGACTTTGGGGTCATTATAAAAGTACATTCCCTAAGTGCAGTTTTCTGACTTTCAAACCCTTTGTGACCTATGTGGCAGCGACGAGTCAGAAAGATGAAGGAAGCAACAAGTTTCCTCCGACAGAAGGAAGAGGTTGCTGAGGAGGAGGTTCATGCTAATCATGTGGCACAGCAGTGTGTTCTGGGAGATGATGTGGAGGATGTGATTTAAGGTGCTGGTCATACACAAAATTTAACAATCAACTGCACACCCACTGATTCTTATTTGTCCATCCCAATGGGGAACTGGCATTCTTCACCAAGGATTATTCATATCTGGTAAAAGTATATTATCAAAAAGATGAGACCATATATTAAACACTTCCTCTTTATAATGCCCTGCTTCCTCACAGCTTCTTTGCTCTATCTGCTCCTTTCATGACAGGTACCACATATTTTCCAAATCTCTTCTACTATAAGACTCCTCATTTTGCAAGATCCATGTAGTGTTGTCTGGACTCCTGGTGTTTATAGGCACACAGTTCCCTATATACAGGAAAGAGAGATACTTTCATCTCTAAAATTAGAGCTTTAAGGAAAAACACAGAGCCAAAGGAATGGGGAGAGCAGCTATAGCCAAGTCCCTGCAGAGAAAAGGAGATGTGTGATAAATGCAGTGCTGGGGTTGTTATCCTTGCTGATGGGATTAATCATTTGTAGCAGAATAAATGCAAACTGTTTTAAGTGAATCATAGAATCACTTAGGTTGGCAAAGACCTTTAAGATCGGTGAGTCCAACTGTAAATATAACCCTGCCAAGTCCACCACTAAACCATAAAGCCCAAGGGGTTGCTGATTTCTGGTGTTTATTTTGGAAAAAGATAACATAATGGCAGGATTGCAAGGAGACAAGGAGCATTTACCAGCATACAATATAATTTATACCATATAAAGACAACAGAGAAAACACTGATGGTAATAGGTACACCCACACTGGGGGCTGTGTGGGCTGGTCATTTTGTTTCACAAGCTAATTTTTGTGTGGTGCATGCTGAGCCCCATCTCACAATACCCACCTACCACCTTGGGTGTTTATCTTCTTGAGGCACTCAAGACTGTGATCATTTATCAGCACAGACAGTTTGGACAATCCCTTGCTCTTTTCAGAGACTCACAGGTCTACCACTGAGAAGGGAAAATTAGAAGAATCTCATCGGAGGGCACCTCCTGTGCTGGTGCTGGTGCTGGGCTTCAAACGCCACTTAGAACTGACTTAAAGATGTTGAGTGAAAGAAAATCTAGATCCCTTGGTGTTTTGTTACAAGCTTTCAGGGGTAATACATGGCTTTTTACAAGGTTAAACACAGCTTTTTTCTGCATGCAGGAATTCAATTCTGTTGTTTTGCCTTCACGTAGTAGAACACTCTACCCTCTGAAATCTCCTATACAGATATTTCTAGACCTTAATCAAGCTATGTTGTCATAACATGTTATCTCAGATAATATAAATTGACCTATTATTTAAATATCTTTTTGTACAGAAAGGTTTTTTTTGATCTGGAGCCACTCGATACATGTGTCCTTGGGCTGTGTCAGCACAACGCTTTAGTCAGCCGTATTTTATACTCTTAAAAGCTTTGTCAAGCTGAGACCAGTTTGGCAGGAAGTAAGGAAACCTCACTGCAGCTCTGTGAGACCCATTCAAGATGTGTGCACTTGAACGGAGAAAACTCTGCCTTGCCTGTATTCAGCTGTGGATCTGCCTGCTTCTCTCTTTGAGAACGTGGCACGCTTGCTGTCCCAGCAGCAATCCAAATGAAAAGATGCCCCCATCTGCTGCTACCTTTCCCTCAGAAAGCTGTCAATGAGGGCACCTCCCAGACTCCACCACAGCCACCAGTCTTGGATGGACACTCAGGGAAGAGAAGGATGAAGCTGAATTCGCACCTGGGACCCCTAGGAGAGGTTTTCCCCCCAGAGCTGATCCTGGAGCAACACAACTGCCCAAATCCCAGGGCAGCCACAGACTGTTGGAGAGAGGACAAGGTGGGATGAGAGCCCAACCACACTCGGCAGTGAGTTATTATCACATGCTGCAGTGAACATGTGGTGGCTTTTTCCCTGCCTACTCCTCGTGGGCCTACAACCTTGTTCTGTTAATTTCAGTGGGAAATGTGATGAGTAGGTGAATATGTCCTCTAAATTGGTATTTCAAGTAGAAAAGATTAATTTATGTATATTTGATAATTGGTGATGTGTTTCTTAATTTGATTTTTTTTTTAATGATTTCCTATATACCCACACATATACAAACACAAAGTAAAGGATAAAAAGTTTTTTGGCTGCTGTGCTTTCTATACACTAGAAGCATAGTACATAAGGGATTAGTGGGTTGGGTTTGGGTTTGGTTTTTTTGTCAAATACATGAGAACTCCTAAAACTTACCAAACAGCCTTTCTTTGAAACTAAAATTTCTCATATAACCCTGGGAAAAATGTTGCCCAGGCACTAGCAGGCTGCCCCCAGACCACACCAATAAGTCTTGACATTGGCCTTTATTTACAGAGAAAATTACATTTGTTATTATTCTCCTTCAGTCTTTCCATCCTCATTTGTGCTTCTGGAAATAACTGCCTGGTAGTTTGGTGACAAAGCTGTCTGTCCATTTGTAACCCTCTTGGGCAAGTTTGGTGATGTTGTCAAACTTGGGTGCTGATGTATAGGAAGCCACTGAAAGGGTGTGTGCTGAGAATTGATTTGAGTGTTTCTTTCTGCTGCTGACATAAATATCCTTGACTTTTGCAAACCTGTTTGTCCCTGAAGATCCCCATCACCTATGAAACAGCATCTCTCAGGGTTGCAAAGATTGACAGTAGTACCATTGGAGGTCCAATGTCAATAATGAACAAGCTAAAAATGCTAAATCTAAAATCTTCGGAGGCATTTGGTTTTAGTTCTCACAAATACCTTGTTCAAATTTCATTTAATACCTGTTTAAAACAAGTTCCTACCATTTTTCCTCCCTTTGTTCTGCCCCTATTATTTCCCTTCCTTCTCTAGCATAAAAAAAAATAAATCTGTATATTGGACAAAAATTGTCCAGGCAGCCATTGTACCTGAGGTTTGGGAAATCTAAACAGGACACTTAGTTCTACTCCTTGTGTTACTACACTGGTTTAAAAAAGAATTTAAAATTTCTGCTTGAACTCCAGGTTGATTGAATATGAGAAAGAAGCAGAGATAAGTCTAGAAAAAATATCTCCAACGAAAATGCAGGATCAATAAGATCAGTGTGAAATTTACATTAGAAAAAATCAAAGACACTGACAGAAAAGAAGCTTGATGGGAAGATACAGGTTCACCTGAAAATATAGTCTCAAAGTTCCCCATTTGTATCTGTTTGATTTCTGATATACATATTTAGCTATCAAATTAAAATTAACTCTAAACAATGCCATTAGAAACATGAATGGTAAATACATATATACATAATCTGGACCTGCTCACTCTTCTCAGACACTCATCTCCGCAGAGTCCCATAGCCCAGGCCTTTGACAAGAAATATTCTATGCAACTAACCTGAGCAACTAACCTGAGCAGCTCCATCCCACCCTTCCAGTTCTGTAATTTCCTTTTCCTTGGGTGCACCACTGATTGTCTGAAAGTCACACCACAAAAGTTCACCTTAATTTTGGAGGAATGATTTCAGACTAAAATCCATTTGTCTCAGTATCATACAATCAGTTTAAATAACCCAGTACTGTCACTTCTTAACAATAGAACTTGCTTCTTCCTTTCTTTTTTTCTGTCTCAAAGAGGTGCTATTTTTTTTCCTTAGGAGACTTTGAATCAGTGCCCATGATGTCCTTTCCGTAGGAGTTAGTAGTGTTGTTAATTTGGTCTCTTCCTGAGAGTATCTATGAATTCTCCAACTGTCCTTGCTCTCCACACTTTTCTTCTCTAGTTCCACTTACAGAAGCACAGTGATGTTGGGGAGGCTGTGCAGCAGATGGGAAATGCCCTGCCACAGGACCTGGACCACTTGTGTCACACTGGACAAGACTAATTAGGGAAAACAACAACCTCCTTCCCTCCCCCTGATGAATATCGCCCAACCCAAAAAGTCATGTGTGTCAGATTTGTAGCATGCACCTCGGTAGGTGCACACCCGTACATGTGACAAGTGTTCAACTGCATCCCCCATGGGCTGAGATGCAGCTCTTATCCTAGGGACCATGGGGTCCATCTCCATCAGAACCTTTATTCTCCTAAACCTCCTTTGGGTTCTATGCACACGTGCACACACACACACAGACACGTTGCTGTTCAGGTGTCCATCAGCTGAAGGGCAATAGAGACACTGTTGAGCTTCCTTTGATGCAGGCAACACTGCTTCCCAGGAGAAGGGCCACGGCCCCTGACACCATCAGTGCCATGCAGAGGGTTCTGCTGACCCCAAGGGATGGTGGCAGATCATGTCTGGAGGTTGCTCCACTCCCTTTGGCAGTGTCAGAACTGGTTCAGGAGGAGGTTTTTCAAAGTCTGCTCCACTTGCACTGTTTTTGTTTGTCCCCTAACCTCTTTCTGAACTCTTGGATGAAAAGCTCTGAACTGTAGCTCACAGAGATCAATTTCTTTTCCAAAAGACTTTTTTTCTACAGGAAATAACTCTGTTCTACAAAAAGAATAAATATATTAACTACTCAGACTTAACAATGTTCATATATCAAAAGAGGCAGTGTGAAGAGGGCACAAGGGACTTATTTTCTGAATGAATTTGCTCATCCTGAATAAAAGTTGGCATCTTCTAATAGGCTGAATTTTCTTTTCTGGCAAACAGTCCAGCTAAACTGACAAGCTTTGGAGTACAGCCTCCTAAATAAACAGCCTTGTCCTCTTCTTGCAGAAACATTGCAATTATTATAAACACTGCAGATGGGAAAACAATTTGAAGGAAGGGAAACTGGCAGGCTCCAGGAAGGAGGAGGAGCTGGCACATGCCCTTTGATTCAGAGGAAGGGTCCTTTTGTGATAAAAATTAAGTAGGGCAAGTATTTGTGTTCATTTCTGCCTCTGAAAGAACTGATTCCAGAAAATATTTTGTTATCAGGATGATCTACGACAAAAAAAATTAGATTACCTACATCATATATATAAGGTCAGCTATAAATCAGTTCTTAGAAAAGTATGTGACAATGCATATTTGACTTGACAGAAATGCTGTTTCTTCATTGTGAGACAGCTCAGAGGTTGACGATAACCCTTAGCTTGTCCTTTAAGAGTAAGAGCTTCCCTGGATACCATTTTGAATTAGCCCACACTTTTTTCTCTATGTTTCTGAGCCAAAAGGTCTCTCCAGTCCCAAATTGTAAGAGAAACAGTGCTAGTTCTTTTAGCTATAGCCTGCTCTGAGTGATTTAGTCTGCTCTTAGTGCATTATTGCACCAGCCACCAGCCCTAGAGCGGATGATGTGCCACTGCTCTGGAAGATATCTGCAGGGAGATCTGCATGTCTAAAAGCAACTGTACCCTTGCCCACACCCTGTGAAGGTCTTGAAAAGCAGCACCCATACAGTAAAAACCAAAACCAGATTTATTTTTTTTTAGTGTTTTCATTAGATTGGTCCATTATTGTCTCCTGCCTTTAGGTCTGAGATTTTTTTTCTCTGCTAAAAGCAATATGAAAGAATAATAACACTTACCTATGGATTTTATTCCTTTCTGTCTTTTGTGCAATTCTTTAAGATTTTAGGCACTTGGAAGTTGACAGTCACAGCTCAGTGGGATGCTGAACCTCTTCTCCTCCCCCAGCTGCTCAGACTCGGCACAGATTGGCCCCTGGGATGCCAGGGTTACCAGACCCTCATACTCCCCATAGGTCTGTGCTGCCCTCAGCCACCATCTTGGTTTCACCTCCTAGGCTCTCAGGTTCTCTCTAGAAATCCTGTGGCATGTTCCTCAGGGAGGGATCACCAAGCAGCCCTGTTCTGCAAGTGCTCAAGGCATCAGTGGGCTAAAGAGTCGTTCTTGTCCAGTGTATCTGAACCTAGGCATGGTAAAATTAACAATTGATTTCTTCACCTTTGTATATTCGATTGCCCCACTTTTTCTGCTGTATTTTTCCCTTTTTAATGGCTATTTTGATGCAATAGTGCAAAAACATACATACCAGAAGCGAAGTGACTGATCGATCAATCTGTCTTCATAGCATTTCTCCTAAATCCTCTTGGGTGGAGCAGTTTGCTCTGCATGTAAGCAACCTGAAGTCTTTCAACCAAAAGATCTTTGTGTTAGTATTAGCATGTGTATAAAATAGTAGTGAAGGTTCCATTTAAAAGTCAGTTGAATACCTGAATCGATAGAAAAGTATATTGGTCCTGGAGAGACAAAAGAGGTGAGGTGCTACTGAGTTTTGTAGCTGCCATCATTCTGGGCTTTCACCCATGTCCCTGGTATTCACTTACTGACTCTATCTCTGTTCTCCAATTCCAGATCTGTCGCTTTTGTGTTGTTCTTTTATTATTACAGCTGGCCTTGCATGTCAGTTTTGCTCATCTGCCATGTAGGGGATGCTGGAGGGAACTGCTCTAATGGAAAACCCAAAGTAATGCTGTATTGTTTCCTGCTGAGGAAGGGGAAGAGGCAGTGGAGCCAGGCAGGCAGCCT